GCCGCAGCCGATGGCGGGATCAGTTTGCCGGACACCAGATGTGTGATGGCTTCGGAGACTGTGCTCACCTGGGCGTCGACTGATTTTTTTGAGGTCTGGAAATCCTTTAGGTCACCAACCGACCGGACATAGAGCATGTTGTCCAAGAGCGTCTTGTTTGCTGCTCCTTTTCTTCCACCATCCGCGCCAACTCCCTCTCTCCTTGCCTTCAAGTTGCGGACCAGGGCGGCACAGAACGCCACCATAGGACGGACCTGTGGATTGCAGTTCGCTTGAGTCCGAGGGAGATCGAATCGCAAAGGGATAATTCGTTTCGAGCCAAGTTCAGAAGTCACCGGTGGTGTATCAGTTTTGTGCAGAAATTCGGCTGCTTGGCAATTGTCATTTTCGGGCGCGTTTGTCGGCCCAATAAGCTGAAGAATAAGCTGATTCATCAAAAACAACTAATTCTGCTCATTTTTGGGGTTGAATTTGTCTCTCCCACATGTGTTCTTTGTTTTATATGATGCAGTCTAATTTTAGTCAATGGTGGTAACCACACCAAGCTGAAGATAACTATGCACTAAACTGCCCATACAAACTAGGCAGTCATGATTTGTTACACTGTGTCCTCTGCCACCTAATCAGTGATTCCAGATTATTTCATTCACTGTGTTTTATGGGCATGTAGGTATGTTTGGTCAGGCCTATCTACGTTGGGTAAATATTAAACATTGGGTACCGTTCCGAATGGGCACTCATACTCACGTACTCAATTTAAGCTCTCACCTTGGAGCCAAGATTCCCACCTTCCACCTGCACCAAAACTTGAATTTTTGAGGACAATTGGCAACCCTTTGTGCTTAGTGTTCATGTGCCTCTTCAAGTTTCTTCTTTCCCCATTAAAATCTCAGTTCACGTGCCCACAGCGCACTTTCATACGTGATGGATGGTTACCTATGCCTGGCAACTGGACATACAGGCAAAGCTTCAACGCAGAAGGCCCGAGGCTATAAAGAGACAAACACAAATATCCCCAGCTAATCGAAAAGTGCGATATATATTTGTTAAAACACCCAAAACTACGCGTAACCAGCATGCACGTAGTGAACGCTCCCGACACAACAGATCGCGACGCCGACTAAGCACCAACGCGCGTCAGATATGTAACGCGGCGAATGGCGCTGAAAAAAGGACTGCTCAGGGAGACGGGCGGTAAAGGTTAAAATCGCTCCGAAACTTGTGCAAGACAGACCCTTATAGAAGTTAGCTCTCTCTCGCCGGGTGATACCTTCTGGCCACTAGTGTCTGTCCCCTTACTGATAAGGAAACCAATGCTAAATTCAACGTCGTCGTGTATGATGCTATTGTTGTCGTCTATAACTCCACAGCAAAATTGTTTTATCGTTGAAAAATGGAAAACTGGCTTAGCAAGAAAACAGTTGCAGTCTGTGCGGGTGGCTCCTGGGCAGTTTGATCCTCATATTTTCTGTCTCCCACCCTGGTAGTCAAGCGAGCAGGTTTTTTCACCTCCGAAACTCAGGGCTAAATGGCCCACAACATATACCAAATTCATCGACAGACAGTCAAATTATAGCAATGCCGTACCGACGTGCTCATTTAGTGTAATCCTTGAACACAACAATTTAAGGTCAACAATCCAGTTCACAAAATAATGTTTGTCAAACACCCAAGTGATGCACATGTGTGAGGTGAGAACAACTGAGTGTTATCCAGTGAAGTTCTTCTTTATGGACTTACCATCCTCATGTAAAGCCGCACCCATCCTCATGCAAAGCCGCACTTCATAGTATGCATTCACGGCCCTAAAAAGTGGTTGGGACGGAGCGGTGTATCACAAAATTGACACATGATTAACAAATTAATTTTTACCTACCTTCCAGCCATCCTTGCCAGCGATAAGGTTTCCTGCAGCGGCAGCTGTCACTAGCCTCCAAATACTCAAGCAAAGCCGCTAGCAGGACCGCACAATAACGTATGGCAAACTCAAAACGTTTTGCTCACCTTTTTCTACCCACCTTTACCCATCCTTTTACCCACCTTGCCCACCTACCTTATCCACTTAAAGCGTCTGTCGCAAACGCGCCATAATCATATCAAGGGCAGGGAAATCATGAACGTCTTGGTTTTTCTTTTATCTGCGCCCCATGTCGGCACCTACAGAGTGTATGAACCGTAACACGCCAGCTCGCCTCCCACGCCACCGCCTCTTCGCCTCCCGTCACGGCCACCGAGGCGTGTTGAACGGGAGCAAACAAGAAGGCTGGGTGCCAACGAACCGGCCGCCACTCGACTGCGCAACCGCCTCGCTGAAGACACAGCCCAGGCGCGCCGTCAGTAATTCGTGCAATTTACAAACGCTTTGCTTCATTGGAGCAAAAGACACGAGTTGTCCGTTCGTCTAGAAACGACTTAGTAAAGTGATGTGATTCGTACATCAGTATTTGTGCTTGTGACAAGCATGATGTTGACCTGGGTTGACCCCATTGGCCTATTATGAATTTGACGGGAGTTGACCTCGGTGACCCAATATGACCCTTGCATTACCAAGAAGTCGCCAGTGCTGTCGAAAACATTCCATTGCTGCAGATATGCCGAGGGCGCATCAACACCGATCCTCACGCGCGGACGCTGTTTGCGTTGTAGACTTTGTTAGCCTGTATGTGACTTCACAATTTATCGTTCGATTTTCTTTCTATTTGCTTTAAACGGTGCGCCAGGGTTTCATTTGCACGCGAAAAGCAAAACACGTACAGCATTCACTCCGGAGATATTCACTACAAACGGGATGGGTCGTATCCCCCCCCCCCCCCGCCCCTCTGCTGCCCGTGGTCAATGTGATGAGGATTAACCCCGATTATGTAATCAGATTGTCACAAGAAGGCATCCATCGCTGCCCGTTCCAACTTGTCAGCGAGCTGGAGCGATGCGTAAGAGGCGCGGTACATGTTAGCCAGATGTGCCTCGTGTGTTTGCTGTCGATGCGTATCAGAAACAAAGAATATGCTTTTATTTTCACTCCCTTTTGCTGGTCGCGTTGCCCATTGCTGTTGAGTTCATTTGGGCCCCGTTCTTGACACCTAGTGCGGTCCTAATGGAACGGTATGAGTCCCGAAATGTGTTTAGCAGATACAACTGCGATGTGCTGCTACATGGTCGCACTATCACTTCTGCGAAGGGCTGATCAATGTCCTGGAGACGTCTTGGCGTCAGCGTGGAAGCCGTCGCACAGAAGTCGCTAGCACATCGTCCAGAACTCGACAGAAAGAGGCATGGAAGTGGTACCGAGCTCGAGCCTACCGTTTTCGTTTTGGCCGTTAAGCTAAGCCTCAGAGTCGCGCTATCGTTATGGCATACGCTGAACGATGGTTTGGCCCGTTTTGGGCGCGTCTGCAGGTGGCTGGCCGAACGGTGTGTGGTACCTTAACTTGCCGCGCTGATTGGCCGAGCGATGCGGGGCCCTCGTATCTCGCCGCACTGCTTGGCTGCACGGCGTAAGGCCCAGTAACTCGTCGGGCTCATTGGCCAACCGGTGTGGGGCCCGTCGCGGTGGTTGGCCGAGTGGTGTGAGGACCCCGTAACTCCTTGCGCTTAGGGACGAGGTGATTGAGACCCCGCAACCCGCCGCGCTGATGGGCCGAACGGCGTGAGGCCTTGTTACTCGTCGCGAGGATTGACCGGGTGATGTGGGGATCCCGCAACTTGCCAGGCTGGTTTGGCAAGCGCCGTGTCGGCCGCCTACCACCCTTTGCTGATCGCCCTCCCGTTGGAAATGGCCGGATTCCACGATACCAAGAACCATTCAATATTATATGGTTGTGAGTGGATAACTTGGCTCCGCGGCGCTATGGCAGACAATAGTTTTACTGGCATGATCGGTCAGTGATGCTGGCTTCCCTTTGGCCGGCGTGATTTAAGTTAAACGGGATGCGTTCCCACCTCTGAAGAGGTCCAGTCACGTTTTACAAATAACTTTGAGGCAGCAATACAGCATTTGTCGACTTTTGTGCCTGCCAGTATTTCTGTACTCCGTTAGCTATCGTAAAAATGTATCGCACGTTGTCGTTGCCCCCCATTTCCCCGACACTCGTTGCTTGCACCTGGCTTGCACCGCGCCCTCTGCGATGCATTGTCACTGATCGCAGCGGTGCATTCGTGTGACAGGTTGTTTGAAATTAAGCTTCTCAGTTCAGATGAGCAAATTTGCGACAAAAGTTGCGCGGGAGCTTATACGAAAACTTGCTGTCGATATGGCATTGGTATTTGCAAGGGCCCTGTGTGTTGACCAATGATGACAAATGTCGCAGCCACCACCAAGCGGTGGTGTCGGTGGGACGCGTTCGTTTTGTTCCGGCGGGGCCAATTGTTGGTTACCAGTTTGTTGCAGGATCCCCACGCTGACGCTCAGGTCAGAGCTGAGTTGACTTGCCGAAGGAACCACCGGAGAATCGCCACTGCCGTTGTTCGCTGCTTGTGTGCAACAACTGGACGGATCAGTTAAAACTTTGCTTGCCAGCAGCAGGCATGACGGGTCTGCTTTGCGAAATACGTTCCTTTCTGAAAAAGTTTCTTGCTGCAATATCTGTCTCCTCCCCCATTGACATCCGTCCGTCACGTGCAGGCATTTTGGTCGTCTATTGTTGCGTCTGCGCTGGGCCCGGTTTTTCACGATCGTCTGTACTTGGGGTACATTCGCTAAGCTTGCTTTTGTGTTTTCAGAGATCGGCGTTGCAGTAGGCAGGCAGGCGGTTGCCGCGTTCCTTGCGATACCAAGCCGTTTCTAATGTAACCCGCTGACTCAGAAGTGTTTGCCACCAGCTAGCCGCCACCACATGCGAGATGCGCCTCTTTGCAGAGCGGCCGTTGCGTTGCGTGGCGGGGCTCGGCGTTGCTTGCTTTGTTTCGGGCTACCAGCCGCGGGGTGCTCGCTTGCGTTGCAGACTGCGTTTTCGGGGCTGGCGACTGACGGCCGGCGGCCGCTTTCTCTTTCTCGGCGGTAGGAGCGCACCATGGAGGATGAGATTCAGGCCGGCGAGGACGGCCTCTACTGCGTCGGCTTCAAAAACGTGTATGCGCTGACGCGCGATGAGATCTTGGAGGCGCTGTCGCAGTACGGCCGCACGCGCTCCGTGCGCGGCTCGTGCGACGGTCTCAAGCGCAGCTGGACGTTTGTGCGTTTCTCCAACCCGGAGGAGGCGGTGCGCGCCATCACGGGCCTTCGCTCCTCGCCGCACCTCTGTGACGTCAACTACGTGAAGTACGTGCAGGACCGGCTCCCGCCGGCCAGCCAGGCGGGCGTATCGCCGCTGGTGCGCGCCGAGCCGGTGCCGGAGCTCTCGCCGGTGCGGCCGCCGGCGCCGGCCGCGGCGCCGCCCACCGGCACCCGGCACGGCCACCACGAGGTTTTCATCGGCAACTGGCCGCACGACCTCGAGCGCGACGACGTGTTCCAGCTGTGCGCCAAGTACAACGTCGATGCGGTGGACGTGCGCCTCTACAAGAAGGAGTTGAAGTGGTGAGTGCAGCCGAGACTGCGGGCCAGGCGCGTCAGCCTGGGTCATCTGTGCCCGGCCGGCCCCGCCCCCGCGCGGAGCCACCGAGCACCGGAGCACTCGTGCCCTAGTGCAACTCGTGCCTGGTGTGAGATGTCCGTGTGACACGCGAACGGGTGGTGCGGCGTGCGTTGCCTGGACAGACTAATGCTGGTGACCTCAGCCCGCGGTGGCCGGTCGTGCCGACGCTGTAGCAGCTGGCAGACGGTGTGCCGCATTGTGTCGGACGGCCGTGACCCGTGCTGACCCGATGGACCCTGTGCGGCGGCAGCTATGCGTTCGTGGTGGTCTCCAGCGCCGAGGACGTGCGCCGAGCCATCGAGCTGCTCGACGGCGGCAAGGTGGCCGGACGGCAGATCGTGGTCAAGGATTCACGCAACAGCCTCGGTAAGCGGCGGCCGGCCGGCGGGCCAGCGCCCCATCCACCTGCTGCTCCCTGGCGTGAACACTGCCGGCTCCGTCCGCCCGGCGTACCAGACGCGCCAGGCAGGCGGCATACCAGCCGGCCCCGGATCTCAGGCCTAGCTTCCTGTTGTTTTTTTCTCTAAGTTATTTCTTTGTTTTTATTTTCAGTCACGTGTTCATGATTGTCGCTGACGTAAGCGTTTACGCATGAATGAGCCGAGCGTATGTATTCCTGACTCATAGTTGATTCTGAATATGAACGCACGTAAGAAGCTCGTTTGTGCTAGTTTTCTTGAGTGGTGTATTTTAACGCAGTAGGTTTGCTGGATGGTTTGGATACATGAACTGAACAAACGAAAACACCGAAATAACAAACGTCTTAAAAACTGCAAACTAGCTTCCGAGAAAGCTGCGATACTCCCTGACTAGCCCGCCACAAATCCGCCCTGAGCCAGCCTGTAGTGTTAGAGGCGCTAGGATGTCTGTCTATGCTATAGATTTTCCCTTGGATCGCGCAATTTTTCAAAAGAACTTAGCAACATTTACTCATGTGGCTTGGCTTGATTCTGGAGGTGGAGTTGATATGCCCTGTACATTTATGCTCGGATACTTTTGCATAATACCCATACTTCTGTGTAGCTTCCATATCACACGTCAGTGTCCAATCAGTCAGGTGGATACACATGTCCAGGACGAACCCGTTGGACCGTATATGAGCCAGCCTGACCTGGAATTGTAGTCGCGTCTGTGAAAAGTCGGTAAGAACGCATCTAGGCTGTAACGAACGCCCTAATGTACCCACTGCAGGTGCACTGAGTCGTCTGTGGCACTGTTGGTTGCATAGTCGCACACGGGCAGGATGATAACGGACGTGTAGTTTATACGAAATTTCGAGAGGGTGTAACATTCGACCCAATACGTGATGTCATTGACAGCCCACGTGGCAGTAACTCGTCGGGAATCAGGGCGTTACGATACATGGGCATATTTTACTGGTGGAATCAGTCCAATGGGCTGACAGGTTCGTGGTTATCTGATTCGCCTAGCTGTCGTCTGGAACTGAGACGCTTTATTCGCAATGTCCCCTCTTACAAGGTAGTTTGTTCTGTCTTGCAGCCGTTGATCGCGCAGGGAAACGATTGTATTCTGTTGGATCCCAAACCAGCCAAGCCAAGTTTAGGTCATTGCAGTCGTGGATTTGGAGTAAACACTGGTTCTGCGCTGGTCCTGGTCAATAATTTAACAAAGGCCTGAATGTCCGCCTAAAATACTGTTTTTTTTTTGGCTAAAAAATAGCTCGCCAACCTTGAAGCGAGCTCGGTGATTGTGGTCGCCGCCCATTTGGCTGCCGCCGTGATACGTCATGCGCACGTGTCTCACCCCACTCAGGGGTCGCATCAGCCACCGGCCGGCCGGCCGACCTGGCGCCGGAACCGCCGCTCTAATCGCCCGTCTCCCGCCCGCAGCCAAGCAGGAGCCGGCAGCGCAGCCACAGGAGCAGAAGCCGGTGCCGCGCCCGGCGCCGACCGGCGTGCGCCAGCGGCTGGGCGGCGCCGGCTGGCGGGGCGGCCGTGGCGCCGGCGCCGGCGGCCCGCCCTTCCCGCGACCCGCGCCCGCCGCCGCGGCCACAGCCCGCATCCCGCCGCTGGTGATGCCCGGCCCTGAACCGATGCCGCCGCCGCCGTCGCTGGACGGCCGGTATGCGGCCGGCCGCGGCGCCGGTGGCTTCCTGCGCGGCGGCTTCCGCGGGCCGGCCGGCGGCCAGTTTCGTCCGGGGCCCGCGCTGTTCCAGGGCGCCGGCCGCACCAACGGCGCCGGCGGCGAGTTTGACGGCGCGGCCGGCCACTTCGACGGACCGCCACCCCATTTCGAGGGCGCTCAGCACCACCAGCTGGACGGGCCGGTCGGCCAGTTTGATGGCGCCGATGGCCGATTTGGGGGCGCCAGAGGTCCGTTCCAGGGTGCCGCCGGGCCGCGCGGTCGCCCGGTCGGTCCCGGCGCACGGCGCAGCTTCAGCCAGCGGTGAGCGGGCGCGAGGGAAGCGGTCGGCCATCGTCGCCGTCCGTTCCCGGTGTACAGATGACTGTTCCGCTGCGTGTCTGCCGCAGCCCGCTCGATGCGAGTAGCGAGCCCAGTGCCGGCCTGTGTCATCCCATGTGACACAGCATCAGAGCGGAGTTACCGCTGAAGTCACCTCATGCCCGCCACACACGTCTCCGAGCATCCCCAGGCGCCGCGACACTGGTGGGCCGCATGTCCCGCGCGTCGCGGCCGCCTCGCTGACGCCCGGCCGCCGACAGGGCTGAGCTGGAGGGCGACTTTGACGAGCCGTTCGTCAAGCGCGGCCGGTTCGACGACGGCGAGCGGGCCGAGTTCCTGGCGGGCGCGGAGACGGGGGCTGACCTGCTGTCGGGCCCGCCGCCGCTGGCCGGCCTCAGTCGTACGGTCGCTCTGGCGCCGATGGGGCGCGGCGCATGTGAGTCCCATTGTCCGCCTCGCGCCGCGCTGGGTTGCTGGTGGGTCCACAGCTCCCTCCAGCTCTTCGTGGTTCAAGTGGGATTAACACCACTGGCTATGTTTTTCTCTATGTTTATGTTGTGTGTTTTCTCGATATTCTCTCTAAGTCAACTTACTCAATGGTTTGTGTCATGTCATTAATGTTCGCTGTATGTGCTGCTTCTGGCTGTACGTACTTCCGAGAGCTGTTTACGTTTTGGTCACCAGGTCATGCCGCCGGTTGCAGTGCTGCGCTGACGTACGTGTGCTTGGTGCGTGCGTGTCTCGATGGCCTGCGACACTGGCGTGCGGCTGCGACCCCAGTCGTCGCCGCGTCGCCGCGTCGCCTCGGTGTGGTGACGTGTCGTGGTTGACCCCAGTCGTCGCCTCGGTGTGGTGACGTGTCGTCGCCTGGTGTGGTGACGTGTCGTGGTTGACCCCAGTCGTCGCCTCGGTGTGGTGACGTGTCGTGGTTGACCCCAGTCGTCGCCTCGGTGTGGTGACGTGTCGTGGTTGACCCCGGTCGTCGCCTCGGTGTGGTGACGTGTCGTGGTTGACCCCAGTCGTCACCTCGGTGTGATGACGTGTCGTGGTTGACCCCAGTCGTCGCCGCGTCGCCGCGTCGCCTCGGTGTGGTGACGTATCGTGGTTGACTGCGGCCAGTGACGCCGGCCGGCCGCACGACGGGCGCCATCTCGGACCGCATCAAGAGTCGCCTGCACGCGCCCATGGACGTGGTGGTGGCCAACTTCCCGGTGGGCACCAACGAGCACGACCTGTTTGCCATGTTCCGCAAGTTCGAGCCGCTGAACGTGCGCATCATGGTGAACAATTCGAGCCAGCATCCGGACGACTTGTGAGTGGTCGGCACTGAGCCGGAGTTCCGCGCCCGTCCACGGCGGCCGATCGAGCGGCCGCCTCTCCCCGGCCGCCGCCACGGCAGCCGCCGGGCTCAGGCGCGCAGTATGCAGTTGACGGGTACCGGTGTGGTAACTGAGCTTTTGAGCTCAATCGGATTATAAAGAGTCCACCAGAACGTTGTGAGGTGAAGAGCGCTGTCGATTTATTTCGCGCAGTCGTGCAAAACAGTTGGTTATATTTAAAGCAGTTCTTCGGTGTATTGACAGTAAAAGACAGGTGGCATTGCGGGAGCTTCTGGCTTCCTTTCCGTAAATAGAGAAAAAATTAGATATCGGAAGAGAACATTCTTTAGTTAAGAAGTTGACCGTTTCCGGCCTTTTTGTGGGCCGTCCAGTATCAAAGAGCCCTTTGTCAACCCAGTGCCCTTCCCTCGCCAAGGCTGCGGCTACGCGCCTGTGCTGGACTCTGTGCTTGCCCGCCCTGAAGTGTGAGTTGCTCAGGATGCGAACTATCACGTACTGCAACGAAGCCTTGTCAGGCATAGTCAGGGGCAATGCCGAGCATGGGCTGCGAGCCGTGTCCAACGTCCCCTGTTCGTCCCACGTGTGGGGTCTCGTCGGCCGGCCACTGGTGCCCTGCCCACCCTTGACACCCTTGCCGTCTGTGTCCGCAGCACGTACGCCTACGTGACAGTGTCCAGCCGGATGGCGGCCGACGAGGCCGTCATGGAGATGGACGGCTTGACCTTCCAGGGTCGCCCGCTGGTGGTGGAGACCAGGAAGAACTAGCGGCCGCCGCGTCGCACCACAGCGGTCGCCGCGCCGCTCCCCATGGCAGCAGCGCCGTGGCCTCATCCCATGGCAGCGGCGCGCTCTCAGCCCGGCCGCCGTCGCTGCCGGATCCATCTCATTTATCTGACAAAGTGCCGGCCAGCCGGCGTCTGCCGCGATTTTCTGTTGTACGTACAGCTGGCCCACTGTCGCAGGAAGGTGGAGCGCGGGAGGAGCGCATTTTGGCCAGCTGTGCCCCGCTCTCAAACTTGGGACTGAATACACGGCATTGGCGTACGAGGTCCGTTGTTTCGCTGGAAGTCGGTTGCGGAGGGTCGGTCGGCGTGCATGATCACGCCAATACGGCGTGCAATGACACTAAAGACCGAGCACGCAACGTGAAATCCTGCCGATACTGCCGAAAGCATACTGCATGGTGTGAAATCAATGCAGTACCAAAACGACTTTGCTAGAAATTACCTCTAGTTGGAGGCTGGTCAAGATATGTCGAAGGCTAGTCGGGACTTGTTTATCAGATAGATTTCACGTGTTCGCATCAGGGGTGACAAAACTGTCATGGTTAGCCGTTACGCAGCCTCAGTTTTTGCGGTGGTGTGGTCCCCACGCTATGCTTCTTTCATGTCTGCAAGCAGATGACTTCGTGAAATTGAGCGTGCTGGCCGGCTACAGATCAGTAGACCGAGGCTTCGTCCCGCTCCGATGGACTTCGCACCAGTCTAGTTCACAGCACGTTGGGCTTATTTGTACTCTTGAGTTCGTACGCGGCGCTGTGCTGAAGCGACGCCTTACCCCTGATATGATGCGATGCAATACAACACAATATAGAAACGATGCTGAGGTGCTGAAGGCATCGAGCTAAACGTGATGAAGCCAAAGCTCCTCACTGGCCACGGATCTCGCACAGAAGCAGTCTTGCAGGATGTCAATTGGTCTCACGTGCGCCACACATGGCCTGTTGTGCGGTGGAAACAGACCTCACCGTCACGGTTGTGACGCGCCGTTGTGTGCCGCGTTGTTCACGCAGGATCGGAGTTCACCGAAAGTAGCGGTTTCCTCATTTTGGACGAGATACCTCATTTCTTGAAAATTCTGATATCATTGGCGGCGATTCTTGCGTACCAGGGGTCAGCTGGTAGTATTGCTGGTAGACATCGTATTTAACTATAACCATATTTATCAATTACTCACACACCGTGCTGGTTATTCGACACTGCGCGCTCATATTTTCACCAATTAGTTAGGTTTTGCGCGCTTTAAGAAAAGAGAAAAAGTTGTCGCACTTAAAAGCCCGAATCACTACCACAAATGCACACAGCGCGGCAAATAGCACTTATGAAACGCTCAGGTATCTGATGTGTTGAAGACAGGTGAAAGCGTTCAGACTGGAGTGAACCGCTTACGGTTCATCACGTCATCCAGTCATGCCGCCACCTCGGTGACGAGCGGCCGCATCATTTCGGGCAGCACGCCCCGCCACTGAGGTGCCGTGTTGAGGGATTTTCGGGCGTGACAACACGGACAAATTTTTCGCACTCCTCAAGCCAATAGGAGCCTAGGAGCCAAGGAGCCCTAGGAGCCTCAAGCCAACAGGTAGATCTGCATATATATATATATATATATATATATATATATATATGCATGTATATATATGCATTTACTTATTCATTTATATAATAAATACGGAAACCCATTTTACCGTGCACAGCCTTGTAAAGCTACGCGTGCTACGCATGCATACACCTAAAACTCACTCATTTTCAACACGCCACGTCAAGTGCTGTGATTTTGACGCTAAGTGTTTCGAAACAACAGACAAAATAGACTTGAGTTGACTGCTAACAAGCACCAAAACGAAGTATGGGCTTAATTCCTAATTTATGTATTTACGGCCAGCCGGCTGTGCGATGTAATCAGCTGATGGCTGATGACTAATGCATAATTTTCCTTTGTTATAAAGGAGTACAACATATCCTAGCACTTAAAATATGTTAAGAACGTGATGCACTAGTATAGTAAGTGTAGCACAATCAATAGCCAATGGAAATGATACATACGACGTCGGCGGCACGTCAAATTACGTTCGGCAACTGCGCGCAAAAACTCATCGGCGCATATCCGACTGCTGCTCTAAGGCGAGGGCACCAGGGCAAATACGGACGGAATCTGAGCGATCATGGGTGCCGCAGGAGGCTAACAAAGTGGCTCTCGTCAACAAGTATAGGGTCCTCAGAGCAAGTGAAAGAGTCCCAAGATCAACGTGGTGGCCCCTAAACAATGGTTAGTGCCTTGGCAGGCTGACATATAGGCCCCGGCCATAGCGCAGGGCCCTTTGAGCAAATGGGAACTATCGAAGATAATAAATTAATACCCCTGTGCGATCAAGAGTGCACGGGCTGGTTAACAAGATTAGCCTCGGTAGGAGTGAAGAGTCCTCCGCAAATGAGACCAAAGAGAGCCCTCAATCAAAATAGAGGGTCCCTGGGCTTCGATTGTCTCCCTGCCTTACCTTATAGGAGCCCTAGCAACAGCACAAGGCCCTCCAAGCAAGTCGAAAAACCCGAGACTTTTATGAAGGGCCCTTAAGCAGCTGAGTGTACCCTGGCTATGGGGCCCGGAAAAAAGTGTATGGAGCCTTTCGGGCGAATGGGAAGAATCCGTGGAGGAAAACCTGATCGATGAACAGTGCTCAGGCATGGAGGCAAATAGCGTCCCAACAGCACATTGGGCCCTATGGGAAAATGCAGAGATCAAGGGCACCGTGGAGAGCTCATTAGCGATCAGATCGACCCGGCGAGTGGACAAATAAGGCCAGGCAACAACGGCGTAATGTCTCTAGACAGCGTTATGAGCCACACAATTTCCCCAAACGCTTTTTCGATCAGCGAAGAATAAATTTTGTTTGCTTATTTGCTAACAGTGGTTCTTGGTCGTCTGTGGGCTCAAAGGCATCTAATTTTGTTGTGTTTTTGTTGTAAGAAAACTGCATCCGTCCGGCCGGTTATAGACCCCTTCGGAGCCTTTAGGTCACCTCGGCATGGTCCATGGGCATAGTCTCGTGTCCCCCCCCCCCCTCCTCCCACCCCCGACTCTCTGCATCTGCCGCCGGCTCGAGCAGCTAAATAGACGCGGCTCGCCAAGAAAATAGGGTCATTCATTCAAATAAGACATACTCACAACGCAATGTATAGGGGCTCTGAACGATAGAGTGCGCCCGAGCAGGTTAACATATAGGGCCTCCGTCAAGAGCGTAGGGCCCCCATTCAGATGGGAAGTACCCAAGACCCAATGTAGAGGGCCCCCGAATGATCGAGTGTGCCCGAACAGGTTAACAGATAAGGTTCCCAAAAAGGGCACAGGGTCTTCCATTCAAATAGGAAGTATTCAATATCTAATGCAGAGGACCCCCGAATGACTCAGTGCGTCATAGCAGGTCAACATGTAGGGCCCCCGTTAAGAGCGTAGTGCCCTATATTCAAATGGGAAGTACCCAAGACCCAATGTAGGGGGCCCCCGAGTGATCGAGTTTGCCCGAGGAGGTTAACAAATAGAGCTACCAACAAGAGCGCAGGGCCTTCCATTCGAATGAGAAGCACCGAAGACCCTATGTCAATGCCCTCAGCATGATGGAATGTGCCCGAGCAGCTTATCAGAAGGGGCCCGACAAGAGCGTAGGGCCCTCCATTGAAATAAGAAGTACCCAAAACCCTGTGCGGAGGGCCCCCGAAAGATGGAGTATACCCGAGCAGATTATCAGTTGGCCCAGACAGGGGTGTAGGGCCCTAAATTCAAATACTAAGACCTAATATATAGGGCCCCCGAACAATCCAGTATGGCTGAAGCGGTGAATAGATGGGGTCCCGATAAGTGCTTAGGGCGCTCCATTAAGATGAGAAGTACCCAAGACACAATGTGGGGCCCACCGGATATTTGAGCGGGCCCGAGCAGATTAACAAATGGGGGCCCGGCAAGGGCGTAGGGCTTTCCGCTCAAATATGAAATGCTCACGACACGATGTAGAGAGCCCCGAATAATCCAGTGCCCCAGAGCAGGTTGACAGATAAGGCGGAGGGCCCTACATTCGAAAAGGACGTGTCCAAAACCAGATTTATAAGAAGAGGCCCCAACAGGAGCGTGAGGCCCCCCATTCAAATAAGAGGCACACAAAACCAGATGCGGAGAGCCCCCGAAAGATGGAGTGTATCCGAACAGGTCATCAGATGACCCCGGTAGGAGCAGAGGGCCCTAAATTCAAACACTAAGAACCAATGTGCAGGGCCCCCCCGAGCAATCCAGTGTGGCCGAGGAGGCGAACAGAAGCGGTCCCCCTGCAAGTGCGTAGGGCGTAGGGTCCCATTTAAATAGCACGTGCCCAACGTCCAATGTAGAGGGCCCCGAACGATCGAATGTGCCCGAGCAGGTCATCAGATAGGCCCTCACAAGAGCGTAGGGCCCTCCATTTAGAAAATAAGTACCCAAGACCCAGTGTGGAGGGTCCCCGAACGACTGAGTCTGCCCGAGCACGCCGTCAGATGGGCCCCCAACGAGAGTGTATGGCCCTTAGGAAGCAAGTGACAAAGAATTGGAAACGTCCTAGATCAATGTGGAAGGCTCACCAGCATACTGCAAGTGTGTCGGCAGGTTAGCCGGGACCCACGTAAAGGGCCACTGAGCAACCGAGAATATCCCGGCAGGTTAAGATATGAGACCCCAGCTGTAGCTTACAGAGCTTTTCTGGCGAATGGAAAGAATCCGTGGAAGGGCCCGTGATTGACAAGAGTGCCCCGGCACGCTAACAGGAAGGGACCCAACAATAGCGCAGGGCCCTCGGAGCAAATGCAAAGAAATAAAGGACAACGTGGAATGCTCCTTAACGATCGCATTAATCTTGCAAGTGGGCGCATGGGTCCCCCGGAAACAGCATGGGGGGCCCCTAGACAGCGTAGTGAGGCTTAAAATTTCCAATTCACAACTTTTCCGATCATCGAATGATTTTTTTG